TATAAAGTAATAATGTAATACGGTAATGATGAATTTAGACGATATTAAAATATATCAAAACTATACGAATTATTAGAAAAAGATTAATTTTCAACCATACATTTAGTACTAGAAGTCGGTTTTAATTTTAACAATCAGAAATCAAACTATTAAATATCAATGATTAATTATCAATTATCTGTTACGTTTATTTACTGCAACTAAATACCATCAAGTAAATCTATTTGGTTAAAAATTTCGTTACAAATAATTACTACACAGAAGAAAATCTAGAAAGTATTGAAAAAAGGTTAATATTTTACAAAATAATCTCGGTTATTGAAAAAAAGAAATAAATATGCATATATAAATACTGTTGTGGAAATTTATGGATGTGCTGTATCTTTTTTTTATTGTTAACAAATACTGAAGTTTCTATTTAAAATTACTATTTGATTAAATTCGTTGAAAAAAAAATCTCAAAAGTGTTCAGAAAACAAAATTCGTTATTGAAAACGAATACGAGAACATAAGCAGAAGAAATACACGAATGTAATACACATTTTTTTTTACATTTTATCCTATTTTTGCAATATTTTGTTGTAGTATTTACTTTACAACTGAAAACTCTAAAGCTCTTCTTGCTTGACTTCGATTTCTTTAATAATCTCATAGAATTACAAATCCCATCACATATTCCATTAACAGAGAGAGAAGAAAACAAAACAAAACATGAGAATCGTAATAAACGAAACAAAATAAAAAAGATGGTGAAGATACCCTCTCGGGAGCAACGTAAGAACAGTCCTACGAAGGCGAAGACACGACTACTACGACACGAAATCGGACACCGCGTGGGATTACCTTGGTCAAGAGGCTAACCTTGTGAGACTCCAGGTAGCTCTTGGTGGTGATGGCTTTCTCCTGGAACAGCTTCTCGGCGCTTGTAAGCCACTCTGTGATCTCACTCTCACACTCCTTGAAGCTCTGCCAACACCGGATGCTCTCGCTCATTCGGGTCTCCCATGTAACCGAAGCCGAGGTCACTTCGGTGAATCTGAACGAGGGGATGGGAGAGAATGGCGGTTAATTTTGATTTTTCAAATAGGTTTTATGCCTCTGGGTGTGGATATTCACTTTTGGTTGTCTGGTTCGTGTTCCAGAAAACAAAGAAGAGAACAACAACAATAACAGAAGATAAGAATGAAAAGACGGAAGAAAAGACCAATTAGAGATTTAAAAAAAGAAAAAAAGAAAAAAAGAAAAAAACACGAAACCACAGACGAAGAAGGCCGAGAAAATAATAAATGAATAATAACGTGAAAAGGGGGAATCCAACACACCTGGCATTGAGCTGGTTCATCGTGTCCTGCAGCTCTTGGACGTCGAGGTTCTCTCCGCCGTTAGTGGTTCGAAGAAGGTTCTGGTAAACGCGGTTCTTCGTGTCCAGCATCGACTTGTAGTACAGTTGGCGGGAGAAGAACGCCTGTTGTGAAGGGAAACAAGGGAAAATACTGTTCAATAAATGGTTCAACGGATGGTTCAACGGCAGAAGGTTCAACGAATGGTTCACCGGCTAGAGTAAAAAAAGAGAAAAAAAAACACTAAGAAAGGATGCATGCGATCGGGTTATTTTTTTTTTTTTTCCTTTTCTGATACCAGTTAGTAAGATCACCAGGATTTTTGTCTCCTGCAAAAGAGATGCGGATTATAACAAATAAGAATGATACCAGAGAGAAATAGAGCGAAAAGAACAACAATGATGATAATAATAAGGTTACTATGACAGTCGCCACAATTCCAGGCACACGAAGTACCAGTTTGTGAAAAGAATGTTAATTCATGATATAAATATTTCGAACCTACCCCTCTTCTAATCACATTCCACTAAATTGTTGTTATCTACGAGATCAATGCATGAAGTCAGACATCGTTAAAATACAACGAAGAGAAAGATCTAGAACCTTAAAAATATACGGTTAAAACAACACACAGTTATAAACACATGTATAGAACACAACACACAACCTATCACAGCCTACAAGGAACCCACATCTCAAATAACAACAATAACAACAACACCAATGTTTACAACCCTCACTACCCCCAACAATACATATAAAATCCACGGAATGTGATCAAAATGATTATAAAAAAGAAGACAAAGAAATTCAAATACACAAGTTACACATAGAGAGTGAAAAAGAAGATTATAAGAACTTGAATTATCCTCATTCTGACGTGGATAGACCTACCCTGTGCATCTCCAACTGCTGTCGTGTGGTTTCATTGGTTCCCGTGTAGGTAAAGCAGTACAGCTGGTCTTCGGTCTACACAAAGCGGTAAAGAATTTTGGACGTTATTGTTTGTGGGTGTTTGGGGGGTTATTAAAGTATTCCCGTGGGAGCTCAGTCGGATTGTTATGTTTGTTTTCTTGTACTTGTTTTGGAATTGGAAGGAGTGGAGGGATCGCGTACTGGTGTATATGTATATTAATGTTTCTCTGATTGGGGGGGTAGGGGTGTGTGTGTGAGGGGGGAGGAGAAAGGGAGGGTGTAAAGCCAAACGAACCATACATAAAGACTATATTTTTTATAAAGGGGAGGGGGGATAACATCAAATCACGATTCAAAGAATATAGGAAAATCGACTCTTCTTTTAAGGGTGGACTCAAATTTACCACATGCTAAGGAAAGTTATCTACTAGAGTACATTACTTGATCTTTCTTGGGAAGTCTTTTAAACTTTATATATATTTTTTGTATATGTAGAAACAAATCAACACTGTTAAGGATGATCACACAAAGCAAAGACATAATTATTACCTCAATCTAATAGGGTTTTTTTAATTGGCCAAGTCAATAATACACATAAAAGGAGAGATCAAAATACGACTATGGGCTAACATAAGAAAACAAAATCAAACTCTGCCGGTTGTAGTTGTAAAACGGCTGACACAAACACCAGAATACAACCTTACAAAAAATAAAACCACAATTCATGGGATTGAAATGCTTGTGTACACGGAATCCAAACCTTTTTTTTCTTAACAAAAAAAGGTCGAAGGGGAAATAAAACATGGGCCCAAAAAATACACATAAAAATGCATTTAAAAAAGACGAAAGGCAACAACTGAGGAATTCCAAAAAAGAAGAAGACATGAATGTATTAAAGAAGGAGAGAAAATATACCTTTTGTTTGTCAAGTTGTCCTTGGATGTTTTCGTTCGTCCCGTGGAGACTGAAGGACGCCAGAAGAGCATCTCCTTCGTCGAGCCATTTGTTGATTTCCTTCACGCCGGAGTCCACTGCCTCCAGCTGCGTGATAATCTGGAGAAAGAGAGGGGGAAAAATATATGAGACGGAATAGTATATATATATCCTAACCTATCTTGGGATTTCTAGAATAATCTTCACGAAAGGAGAGGTTCATTTTCACAATTTGGAAAATACTAACCTATCTTTAGATTTCTAAATTAATCTTCTTAAAAGGAGAGACACACTTTCACAATTTGGAAAATAGGAGATTTCAACCCCACAGAATATATATATCCTAACCTATCTTAGGGAGATATCACAGAGATCTAGTGCAGAAGAAAATCAGAAAAGGAGAGGCCCATTTTCACAATTAAAATAAGAGAATTCAACCCCACAGAATATCATATATAAAATCTAGGCTATCTTCAGATTCCTAAATTAATTTAAAAAAAAGGAGAGGCCCATTTTCACAATAAAAAAAGAAAAGAAAAAAGAAAAGAAGTCAACTCTTACCTGAGTTGCCAAGTAGGTCTTCTGAGGAATGGCGGTGCGGATTCGAACCAGTTCCTCCTTCTCTTGCTTCAAGGACCACATCATCCTCTCGATCTCGTCCGGGGTGAGCTCCTGCACGAGGGCCTGGAAGGACTTGGAGATGTTCTTGAAGAGGACCTCCATCTCCTCGACCTCAGTGTTCAGTTTCTGTAGAGGGGGGAGGAGAGGAGGTTGGGTGGGTGTGGAGGGAGAGGGAAAAATGGGAGGTTGATGAGTGTGTTTCTCTCTTTTATCTTATTTCTATGTCTGCTACTGGCATTTTTTCTATTTCCTGAAACCGGTTTTACAAATATATATTGAAGAATTCACCTACAAACAAATCTTTCTGTGTAACAATACCAATTACGCTTTTCTGAAGATCCAAAATAACTTAATCCTTTGCCCTCTTTTATATATACTTCCTTCTCCTTCATATTGGTCTAAAATCGTAACTCTGTCTTCCCTTCAACCGGAGCTCCCTTCCTCCCTCCTTTCCTCACCTCCCTTAACCTCAGTATCTTCACTGCCATCTGTCCATCCCCCCACCTTCCTTCCCTTTCCCTCTACCCCACCTGTCTTCCCTTACCCCCCACCATCCCTCCCGCTCCACCTCCCCCCTCCACCCCATCCCTCCAACTACGCTTTACCTTGAGCTCCTCAGCGTATTCCTTGACGGCTTCGACGGTGCAGACATTGGTCGTGTTGAGGGTGACCTCGGCGCTCTCCAGCCACAGCTCGAGGCGATCCTGGCCCGAGCGGTAGTCGTTCTTGGTGCGCAGGATCTGTCCGCGGTGGAGGTACTGCTGCACGTACTGCGAGGCGGACGCGACGAGGAGGAAGAGAGAGAGGGTGAGAGAGAGGATAAATAATTGTTCGGTAGTATGCTGTGTTGGTGGTAGGTAGGGTGAACGGGTTTCACTGAGGCGAATGAAGGAAGAAAAGGGTTTGATTGTGGGTGCATGTGGCGAGGAAAAAAGAAGGCGAGGAGGATGACAAGAATGAGGAGAAGGATGATGATGAGGAAGCAGATGAGACGAAAGAGGAAACATTTCGTAATGATTCTTATAATGCACAGTGGAGGAAAATGACTGTAATGAGGCGTGATATCAAAAAATAAAATTTATATAATAAAAAAAGAATAAAACAATGATAGGGAAGAGCATCACATCATCAATACATGAATATACAAATAAATTCAATTAAAAAAGAAATTTACAACTAAAAGAGTTTAAT